TATACCCGAGCGCACTTGTGCACAAGGGTATTATAACTTTGTTCACATAACGGTTGTTTGTAACAGGCAAAACGAATCGAGATAGATATAGACAAATGTATTCCTTGTTGACATAGAGAAATTGAAATTAACTTTTAATAAATTAAATGGAAAGGAAATTTCGAATTGCAAAAACTTAATAGCTGAATTATTGAAGTTAAGTTCTGATGTAAATTTAGAATAATCAAACCTTTTTTTAAATGTCTATTATACTTTAGAATTAAGTATTTGAGTTAAAAAAATAAATGCTTAAAAACATTGGGCTAGTAAACGCAAGAAAATTGCTAAAATGGGTTTATAAATGAGTGTTTCACTTAGTGTGTAATTTTTTGTAAGTATGCATTTCCACATTTACATTAAAACGAAAAGACAATACCTAAAATGCAGCTGATTCTAATGAGATTTAAAAAATTTTCATATCTACAAAAACTTTCATTTCAAAGATATTGGCTCGCAGTTATAGTTAAAATAAAGTCGACTCTTAAGTTAAAAGCCGCTTTTTTTGACAGATATCCCATTGAAAGTTATGTCAAAAAGCTGCTTTTAACTTTAGGAGTCCACTTTATTTTGACTATAGTTATGGGCCGTTGAGTTTTATCAAATATGGTAAATGCATAACAAAGGGTTAATTTCTTGGTTTACATTTTTTGACATTACAGTCAGCTATGAGAGAGCTCGACTGAATTGTCACTTCTACCTTGTTGAATATGCCTTGCATGCGCACCATGCTTTTCATTTTCAATCTCATAAATTGTTTGTTATGACTTTTGCTGAAATTTCAAAATCAAAAATTATCAAAACATATTCTACGGGACTGAGAAATATTTTTTTCTAAAATTTAGTCCATTTATAAAAGCGTGGTATATTAAAAAGTTATTTTTTTATTTTATTTATTTTATACTTTTTGGTCTTGTCTGTATAAAATTTTGCAATAGATATTAAAATAATTCATCGATATTAAAAGACTGATGCACATAAATATATGTATGTACATACATAATTTAATTTCATTTAAAGAAATGGCGTGTCCTCCATTTCCGCTGTAGCGTATGTAGTTCATATTTTTATGCGCAATATATAACTACATCTACCTCTACAGTTTTGATGTGATACCTACCGCCGAGGTTGATATCAAGACTAGGTTGTATAGAAACTTTGACATAAATACCTTTGCTATATTTATAGTATAAATGGTGGTCTGGACATACAACATTGCAAGTTGATAAAAGCTTTGTCATAATAACGAAGTACTTATTTTAATAATTGACTACACTTACATTCATAAATATTTTATGTAATTATTTCAAACATATGAGTAAAAATTTGTGAAGTGGGCCACCATTTTTTCGAGGGTCGAGCTTTTTTGTGCAATTATCTGTTTATGCTTCACAACGATAAAAGAAAAATACAAATTTCACAATTTTTCGAAATTCGAATTATTTTGGAAGTAATAGCTATTAATATTTTGCGAAATTGTTTAGATTTCAATTGTTTTATCGCGATTGGTAATACCGATTTTTTATTTGGCCATAAATTTGCCCTTGTGCACAAGGGTATTATAACATTGTTCACATAACGGTTGTTTGTAACAGGCAAACCGAATCGAGATAGATATAGACAAATGTGTACATAAATGATAAGAATGAGAAGAGAAATCGATTAATTTTCTTTTATCGTTGTGAAGCATAAACAGATAATTGCACAAGAAAAGCTCGACCCTAGAAAAAATGGTGGCCCACTTCACAAATTTTTAATCATGTGTATGTATGTATAGCTTTGAACTATTTTACAAACATGCCTAAATAAAACGTTGTTCATACACAGTAGCCAGCGTTCAAGATTGTTCTGGTGGCATATGTACATTAGGGTGGTCAAAAAATTCATGGATTTTTCTATATCGAAAAAAGTATACCCTTATTTTTTTATTTTGAAATTAAAAAATATATAGAGGTCGCTCAAAGCGTTCAAAGTTTTCCATGTATTTTGTATGGGAAAAAAGAACTTTTCGTGGAAATGGTATGGAGTTCTTGAAAATCAATATTTTTCGACCGGAGACTCTGTTTCTTTTCAACAGATTCCCAATAATAATACCCAATTATTTTTTTAACATTTTTTCTTAGCAACTATATTTTATAGGTCCGCCAAATCCCCTAGAAAATGCCAGAAAATGCAATGACGGGGTTAAATAAAAAATCTTCCGTATTAAAAAATGGTTAAATAAATAATGGGATATTGTTATTGGAAGTCTACTGAAGAGAATCAGAGTTTTCCGATCGAAAAATATTGATTTTCAAGAATTTCATACCATTTCCACGAAAAGTTGTTTTTTTCCCATACAAAATACATGGGAAACTTTGAGCGCTTTGAGCGACCTCTAAATATTTTTTGATTTCGAAATAAAAAATAGGGGTATACTTTTTCGATATGGAACAATCCTAGGGGTGAGAGCATTAAAATGCCGACTTTACTTATTTTGGACCACCCTATTGTACATACATATGGCGCAATTCACGTGAAATGTCCCAAGCGCAATGAGCCGTGCAAAACAAGCTATTTTGGACTAGCTGGGAAGCAGACAGAAAATGGGAAAAATAATTTGAAAACCATGATTTATATAGATTTTTGTGCGGGCTATCCGATGATGCTATGCGTTTTTCAAAATTTTCCCATTTTCATGGCAAAATTCAAACGAAAATTTATTTGCAATTTTTCTCAATTATGGTGATTTATAATTTTTTTAGTCATCTTAATCGAAAGATCAGGTGGTTAAGGTTTCCTCAAGTGGGCCTCGAATTTACCAAGATTAATATTTTTGAATGATATTCAGGCAGCGCCGAGTTTTGTAGTCGAAAAGTATAATGTGTAGATTTTGTTGCAAAATTCCAACAAGTTTATTTTTATCAACAATTGAACGTTTTTGCACTGTTTTGGAAATTTCTATTTCTTTTCAAAGTGTCCGAATGAAAAATTTTTTTGGGTGCAGATTTAGAAAACATTAAACTATACAATTGTTTTTGTTATTTTTTTGGCCTTATAACAATTATATTCAAAAAATGTTTATTGAGCTTGAGGCCGTTTTTGATGAAAAAATTATTGCG